TTGAGTTCATATGAAACAGGCCACAATTATGAAGGGTCTGGGGAAGGGTCTGAAAGGAAGAAGTCTCAAAGATAAAGGGACACCACTTCCCAGTGTACACATCTTAATGGCCTGGGGAAATAGATCTTTTGGAATTTCCAGAAAAATGACAGTACATGAATCAGCTATGCACATTGTGAAACCTAAGTCATCTACTCATTATTCCACAATATAAAAATAGAAAATTTTACATCAAGATAAAAAATTAAAACCACCATTAGCCAAGACAAGACATGCCAATACATGGAGACACACACAACACGCTAGGGTTTTGTACCAGGACAGATTCGCTTACTTATGTTACAGAAATAGCCCACATGTTGTACATGGGCACCCACTGCAGACATCACTAAATGATTTCAGTATGTCTTCCCACTGAGATAAGAGATAAAGCGAGGTCAAAGGATAAAGTATTTCTTGTGCTATTAAAAAGAGTGCTTTTTAGGCTTCGTCAAAATGGCTCTGTGGTTGCATTAAAATTACCACTTCAAAATGTCATCTATCCAATTTCATGTCCCATGCCTGCCACTAAGTGGTTATCTGGCCTTTCCCAAGGTCACATAATTTCTCTAGGTTTCTAAATCCTTTTCTGTAAAATGAAGACCTAGACCAGATAACTACAAAAGTCAGTTCTCATTCTGGAGTTTATAATTCTGACTTTCTTCTTCACCCCATATATAGCTAGCCCAAATCTCTTATCTGTACTAAAGACTGATTGTCTTGGGCAGGGGCAATTTCACCCCTATTTCTCAGAGGGTACATGGGTATATTATTGGTTCAAACCTCAAAGCACATGAAATGCCCCCATGGGCCCCTCTGGTTAGTGTCTTTGGCTTCTACGTTGGACAAGTGTGCACTAGATATAAAACTGCAAGATGACTTGCTTCCCCAAAATGGAACTTAAAAATCAAGATTTCATTTGTTCTCTGTGGTTTCATTTCCTGCCCGGAAGTGAAGCTCTGTGAAGCAGAGGGAGCTGAAGATGACAAATACTTCTAGATGGAATCTGCCTTCAGTATGGCTTCCTTCACTATAAAATACAGGTAAACACTATAGAACCACTGCTTTTTGTGGAGTCAGGCAAAAAACACAATTAGGGATGGATTTCATCTTGGATTTTCTACTTCTGCATGAAATGAGTATAACTGCACTCGAGTTTTGGTTTTAGGTGGAGGTCCCCACCCCCACCCTGCAGTAGTGTCCAGCCTCATGAAATTCGTGGGGCAAGAAAAGAAGAACTACCACCACCCACAGCTCCATCCAGCTTACTCTGTAGCCTTCCCAGGGGAACCCAGATCTGCCCCAGGCAGAGTCTACACGCAACTTGCAACACTGATCACAGCCTTCTGCTAAGGCATTGAACTCTGTCTGCATATTTGTAAGAACATATAAAGCAGTGTTCAAGAGTATGAATTATAAAACCAGAGACCTGGGTTCAAGTTCCACCATACATCTGACCATCTCGCCAAGCCTCAGCTTCCTCAGTCATGAAATGACGCTAATAGAATCTAATTACGAGGATCATTGTGAGAATCAAATAGGACAATGAATGTAAAACTATAAGGTATAATATTGAGCTCACAGTGCTAGGCTGAGCCATACTTGAGCCTAAGTAGAAAAAGGAAAACTCAGAATTGCTAAATCTGTCTTTATTTAAAATCCTGATATTATATTCACCATGAATTTTTTGTATTAATTTTTATTTTAAAAATATTGCATTAAAGCAGTACTTATCTTGATTACTGAGGGATTTTTTGGGCACCCTTTAAATTTTGCACACTAACCTAAGAATTCAGTAAATGGTGGTTGCTATAATTTTGCCATCATTTTAACAATGACTGCCCAACACAATTTAGCACTTAATTATCTGATGTCTTGTATTAGTCATTGTTTTAAGTGCTTCTATTCTATTTTTTCAACTAATTGGTACACTTATTAAGGGCAGATTATGACATATGTCTTTGTCCCTAGGACAACTTGGTTGCATGAGAAGGTTAAATAAGTACATTACATATAGACGAGATAGACAATTTACCACTCTAATGTCCTCTAATTGTTTCATGGATTTGAAAGTGTTGCTTCATGATCCTTAAGGACAGGGATGACATCTGGCACTTATCCTATGTCATGTCTGGCACAAAACCAGGGGAATAGAATCAAAGAACTGGCAAGGACCCCTGAGTTCATCTAATTTCACCTGCTCACTTCACAAATAAATCAAGGATGTCCAAAGAGGTTCCATGATGTGTCCAAAGCAATCAGTGCTAGTGCTTAGATGAGACTTCAGGTCTCCTGGGCTTCTTTCACTCCAGCTAATTTTCTTTTATCTCTCCATCCCCTTTAGTGTCAAAAGCAGACTTCTATGTGTATCAAAAATTCAATAAATGATGTAGATGACTGAGTTCTGGAATTTGAGTAATCTTTTCTAAAAGGGGGAGCAGGGAGTCATTGCCTGAAAAAAAGAGCTGTGAATTTACTAAATCTCTATATTTTTCTGGCTCAGTGTGGCAAGATAGTTAAGGGGATTCTGGATTTGGAATTAGACATTTCTCAAGCAAGTCTTGGCTCTGCTAATTCCCAATTATATAACCCTGGATGAAATTAAGTTTCTTAATTTAATTTTCCTCGTGAACATGACAACAATACCTGCCACATAGAACTGTGAAAAATTATATGAAATGAAAATATGTACATATAGTATGGCAGACTGCCTAACATATAATAAATGGTCAACCAATACTGGCAATTATCTCAAAACAAACCCTAAATGTTAGATGGACTATTAAAGGCAGAAGGATAGAGTTATATGTACAGTTGGGTAATATACCCACATTTTTATATTATGGTGGATAAAGATTAGGAATGCGGTGAGCTAAACTATCAATCAAGCACTTATAATTATGCCTTTTCTATCCCATGAGGTCTCATAAATCGCCCTAATATGGAATCTATTCTGGGGGATCTCAATTCCATTCAAACATGGCAGGGACACTGCCACCACCCCTACCTCCCTCCAGCTGCGGAGCTCCAGAAATTTTACAGATTTTCAAAAGCATGAAGAGCACCAGTCAGGAGACCATAAAAAAGAACTTGTCATAAGGGCCTCCCCGGTTGCACAGCGGTTGAGCGCTGGGTTGCGAAGCTGCCCGCAGCCTCTGCAGCGCCGGTTCGATCCCCGGCTGCTCCCCGGCCACCGGAGGAGGGGCCCACATGGCACGCTGACCTCCCCTGCCGCCCACTGCTCCCCTCAGCAGTGTACTTCGGTCCTTCTGCCTGCTCTGCTCCCCGCTCTGGCTCTGGTGAATTCTCTCACCCTCCTGCACTTCTGACTGTACCCAGTGCTTGTATAAATAAATAAATCTTAAAAAAAAAAAAAAAAAGAACTTGTCATAACTCGAGAATACCTAACTATCATTCCAATCTTAGAGCCATTTCAAGAGAAAACAAACTATATTAGCAAGGAGACCCAATCAATAAGCAGAAGCCCAGACAAATATAATAAGACACTCCATGACTTGGAATGCTGCCAGCACCAGTCAAATGCTGTGAATGCTGGATGGAGAAACCAACTGCACAGCTGAGTTCAACAATATCTCATTACCTTTATTCTCTTTTGCCCTCAATGCAAAGCAAAACTCTGAGCCCAAACTCACAGGACGCCGTAGGAAGATATGCTGTAGAAAAGTACCCTGTTTGTTAGTACCTATAACTCAGGGCGAAGAAACAGACATGGATATCCCAAATCAAAGGTCACACATTTTGCATTTTTGCAGCATCCTTGGGTCTTCCAAAATCCTCAAACGACATCACCTTGTCTGCCATTAGCATCTCAGCGAAGCAGCTAAGAGTTCACTAAAGTGACAAAACTTTAAAAAGCAGCTACTATTCAAAGAACTTTGGTTAGAAAAGTCAGAGAAAACACAAATAAAAACATTTTTATCCAGAGTAAAACCTTCTGTTGATAATCTGAAAGTCCTCTTGAAATTCAAATGTTCCCAAAAGCAATGCATTGATAGTATCCTAAACTGGGTTCTAAAACAGGAGGAAAAAAAAAAAAAGACAACAGTGGAAAAATTGGTGAAATCCAGAGTACATACTTCAGTTAGTAATGTAATACCAATGTTAATTTCTTACTTTGGACAAATGTGCCATGGTTACAACAGATATTTACACTAAGGAATGCTAAAAGGAAGGTTTTTATCTTTGCAACTTATCTGTAAATCAAAAACTATTCCAGGGCCTCCCTGGTGGCGCAAGAAGCAAACCGCAGCCACTGCAGCACGAGTTCAATCCCCGGCCAGGGAGAAACCCACATGGTGCAACAGACCTCTCCTGACTCACCCACTGCTCCCCTCGGCAGGGTATTTCAGTCAGTCTGCCTGTTTTGTTCCCCACTCTGTCTCTAGTGAATCCTCTCACCCCTCCCACCCTGCACCTCTGGCCTGTACCCCGGCTTTTGCATGCATAAAAATAAAATAAATCTTTAAAAAATTATTCCAGAGTTTATTCAAAAATATATTTTTTAGGTAGCAAAAGCAAATATATAAAGTCAAGGGTACTTCGCAAAGATCCATTGTTTGGTGAGTGAAAGGAGTGGGGATTAGTAGTCTCTTTTCCCAGTGAAAAGTAAATTAAAAGGACAAAAATCTCAGTCTTTTTCTAGAGATAAAGCAAAAAAGATAGTGGCCTACTCCTTTTCCCCTCAGGTAACATGTTGCAAAGGTAGAGTCCCAGGATTTGGACTCCCCAGTCTGGAAAAGTCGTTCCACACTCATTATTGCACTGGAGTTCTGAGCAGAGATCATTGTCCCCATTTTATAGATATGAACACAGGTTCAGAGAGGCTGTGACTTACTCAAGGTCACAGAACAAGGTAGAAACACCCAGGTTTCTTTCCCAGGGTCCCTTCCTGTGCCAGAGCAGATTATAATGAAAGAGGAGGCTCTCTGAAAGGGAAGTACCTTCATGCAGATCATCTAAAAATCAAATAACCACAGCTCGAATTCTGGAGGGCAGGTGTCAGCTGAGAGAGCAGAGATTCAAAATACACGTCTTCTGGCCTGAACAGACTTGGATTTGAGTCCCCAATATAGGATAGAATTCACTTGGCCAGTGACCAGCTCATAGAGTCCTTCCCATTCCTGCCTGGGAGTCATGCTCATAACAACAGCAACAGCAGGAAAAGGCCTTCACGAACATAAAAATAAACAAACTTTCTATTTTTAGCAGGGCTGCAGCTGTGAGAGCTTCATTATTTGCTTTTTAGCTGCAGCATCTGAGGGAGGAGAGGCAAGAGCGGAGGGGGTGGGGCGTGAGGACAACTCAGAGCAGTCGCCCTGGGAGCCAAATTTTCCATTGCTGAACCTAATTACATGCAGGCCACAGACACCAATGACCGGCCTGGAAGTCTCTGGAGCCTGCAGGTCTGGAAACACTGGTGAGCGTGAACCAGGAAGCTGGCCTGTGATTGGGTTCTTTCTTGGCCATATATAGAAATAAATCATCTTTTACCCACATGGTTTTTAGAGTCACTAAAAACTTCAGCCTAGTGACGTCATCTAAGGAGTGGAAGTTAAACTTGTAAGTGGAGATCTTGGCTCTCTAAGTTAGGTAGTTGGAACCTGTGTTAATCTCGTAAGAACTCAGATCCAGCTCATTGCAGGCTTCCAGAATTCTCGATAAGCCTATAATGTTTTGTCTCTCCCAGCCCTTGTTGACAACTGGCAACTTTGGAAGCTTGAGAAAGGACAAGCCTAATGCTGGAGCTGGGAAATAATAAGAACTGTGGTTCCTGCTTTCTGTTTGCCAGGAACAGGTCTGGGTATGTGAGAAGGGAGTTCCAAGGGCCCCCAGAGCAGGAGCACCAAAGTCCTTTTCTTATAAATTCCACAGCAGTTTTAGGAAAAGCCTACACCTGAGCTAATTTCAGAAGTGCCCCCTTGCTGTACTTCTGCCATACCCTGACATCATGTCACCTTTAATTATGTTCTTGTGTCCCTTGTGTGCAGAGTCCCAATTATATTTTCAGTCTTTATGAGAAGACAGAACTGCAGACCCCATAGCAGAACCAAGAAAGGAAAGACCCCCCCCCCAATATTACAGGTGCTTAGGGCATGAGGAAGTAGGCCATGCTCTTCCATGCTCCCCGCAACCTCTACATCCCAGATGAGGTCTTCACTCATTTGCAAACATTGAGCAAGCACCTCACTGTACCATCCCTGCTCACATACAACTTGCACTGTGGGGGACAAATAAAGAGGCAATTTCATTACTGTGGGTCAGGCGCCTAATAAATAAGCAGAGTCCTGTTACTGTGCCAAAACGAAGGCAGGTAGAGACTGGGTCAGAGTGTCTCCTCAAAAACTCCCCGTGTAAGGGTAAATGTCAACTAATAACATGGCAAGAGAAGAGAGTCGAGCTAAAATACACAAGAACTTAACCCCAGCACCTCATAAAAAGTTGATTTCTACCTCCAAGGAACATTTACCACAATACCCAATAACAGGTACAACTGCTGTTGACTCATAAGAAAAAAGGTAGTGTCATGACCTGTGATGGTAAGTTTCCACTGACCAAGGCAACTAGTTGTTCAGTTATTTTTTAAAAGCAGGAGCTAGAATATATAGTGGCCCCTACCAAGCTGATTTTTTATTCCAATTTCAAATCTCTCCACATTTCAATAAGTCTTACAAAAAGCCATCAATTAACTGTCCTTGAGAGTGTCAATCTATTGTTCAAAATACACAGAGACTCCAACTACCAATAAGCAGATTCTAAGAAATCCACAGTAAATATACCATTGGCTATCACTGGTCACCAGATTTCAAGGATATTTTGCTTTTTCCTTAAGACTTTTGAGACTTTCTTTGAGAGAGAGAGTGTGTGTGTGTGTGTGTGCGCGCGCGCGCATGTGCATGTGCACACACACGCACTAGAGTGAGAGGGAGAGTGAGGGAGAGAGAGAGAGAGAACACACACTACCACATTTATTCCTACTCTATACCTTTGTTCACATTATTCCAATCCTAGAAACTCTTCACACTTTTCCCTGGTCTTCAAGTTCTTCTGCACCTCCTAGATTCTGGCCAACCCACCTCTACCAGGAATGTTTCCCTGAGTGCCCCAGTTCTTACTGCTCTTAAATCAAAATTACAAAAATTAGCACTTTGTCACAAGCAGTTTTCTGCTGTCAGCTATATCATGTCAGGGGTCAGTTTCACATTAGATTATAAATTCCTTTAAGAGCCATATCATAGTAACTACCTAGCACAGTGTGGAAATTGTATTTTCCATAGGTGTTTGCTAGTGGGCGGTGGGTGGATGGATGGATGGAATTCCATGAGTTATAAGGGTTGGCTCAATTGGTTAGAACACAGTTCTAATGTGTTTCCATGTCATCTGACCCTATGCTTCAAACCAGGGTGACCACAACCCTGGAGGAATATAGGAAAGTATGACAAGGGTATACAAAGCCACATATATTAAACAATGCCTTCCTAAAGCAACAATTTCCTACTCTATAGTGCTATTCTGGTGGGAAAGTTTGAGAAACACTTTGTGGCCCACACGTTTCCAAGTGCAGGAATTACTTCCAAGGCTGCTGTCCAGATCTTGCTGGAGTTCATCAGTTTTGGGTTTGCTTCTAGATCCTTTCTGATGACCGATAGATCTATACCCCACCAAGAGATATTCCAATTGCCTCACACATTTTGCATTCTTCAATGTGGAGACCACTGGTCCAGGAGCCAGAATATCCTGGTCCTTGTCCAGTTCAGTAACTACTGTAGGCAACCAACCTCTTCAAGCCCCAGCTTCTTATCCCACCCTGCCCTTCTCAAAAAGGTTAGGTTAAATTAAACAATGTGTGAAATATGTCTATAAACTGAAAATTACATGTTCCAGATATTATTGGCATTGTTACCATGCCTGAATCAGTTAATTGGATTGTATCCCCTGAACAACCTGTCTAGCTGCCTAAGGTGGATAGCAGGGCAGCTCTGAATTCTGAAAGTTCTGGGTTGAAACTTGACTCTTGTGTAAGGTTTCAGACTAGAGGTTCATCGCTTTTTTTTATAGTTCTTGTCTCATATGGTGCTGGGTATACAAATGTGCTGAGGTCATGTGTTTCTATTTATTGGAATCAGTCTACCTGATCATTAACATTTTTTTCCCAAATCTCAGTTTCCTCAGTTATTAGATTAGAATAATATCACCTCATTGTGTTGTTAGAAATTTAATGGCAATAAGGATAAACTGCTTAGCACAGTGCCTGGCACATGGAAAGCAGTAAGTGAGTGGTAGTTGAAATAGAGAGCGGGGTGAGTGTATTTCCACAACTTTAGTGGATGAAGACTGGCCATCCCATTATTTTCATGCTTTTATCAGCCTTTCCTTTTACCTGTTATGAAAGTGGCAGCCTAGGGAGAGGAAATATGTGGCAACATTGATGTTCTGAGTCACTCAACCAGTTCAGGAAGTAAATTTCAAAGCCCCGGTTATTTTGTGAACCCTCCAGGCAAGAGGGATAAAGAATTTCATCCTTCACAAAACTTCTGTCAGAATGAGTGTGCAGGGCAGGGCAGGCTGGGGTTTCCCAGGAGTCTCTGACAGAGTGACAAGGAATGTTTACCTAGTCCATATAAATGCTCTGTGAAACCCACACAATGGGCTGCCTCAATAAATCGATATGAAAAGCCATTCCCAAGAGCAGAGCACAAGACAAGGGGAAGCACAGAGTGGTAAAGTGAGAACTCTGTGGGGCTCTCCTCCTACTCAGAGACCCTTGCCCAGAAAAATGGAATCCAGTGGCCCACTGTTTACATGTGAACAAAGCAAATGTTGAATCCCAACAGAGAGCACTGAACAGTAGTGCCAGTCAGTTTATAATGGCCAGTGACGGTACTGTAAATATAGTTTTAGGGGCCTTGCTGGTGGCACAATGGGTTAAGAAGCAACCTGTGAAGCTATCCACAGCCACTGCAGCACAAGTTCGATTCCCCAGCCGGCCAGGGAGCAACCCACATGGCACAGCAGACCTCTCCTGACTCACCCACTGCTCCCCTCAGCAATGCTCTTTGGTCAATCTGTCTGTTCTGTTTCTCACTCTGTCTCTGGTGAATCCTCTCACACCCCACACCTCTGGCCTGTAACCCAGTTCTTGTACGCATAAATAAATAAATCTTTAAAAAAATAGTTTTAACTCTGGGGGACTGTGAGCCAGAAACAGAAAATGATAACTGAACCCCTTTTGTCCCAGAGGTACAAACAAAAGGCTTTGCAAGCCAACCCCACCCATGACCCTCACCAGTGCCACTACTGGAAGATGGAGGGACAAGGTGTTTCTTCTCAAGAACTTACAAGAGCAGGAGTCTGAAGCAAGCACAGAGTAGAGACATGTGTGTATGGGGGTTGAAGGGTATGCCTAATTATTCAGAAGACATCCAAGTGTTTCCTAAACTTACCCAATTCGATGATTTGGAGCTATAGTCATTTCCTGGCATCCTGGATGAAGCATTGAAGACATTTTGGATGTTGCATTAAAGTGAGCTCCCAGGAAAAGTATATTGTCACTGCTCTTTTTAGAGGCGCTTTCATAATGAGAGTAATTTACGTCAGAATTAGACAGCTTAAGAGGGAAGGTCTGAACAGAAATCTAATCACAAGAAATAAATATAACTGGTATGAAAACAAGTTCTCAAAATCTGTTTAGAACTCCAAAGCCAAGATGAAAAGCTATGATTTGAAAAGAGCTACAGTGGAGGGGGGAGCAGAGGAATTTCTTAGAACGGCTATAATTAAGCTGGAAAGCTCGCTGTCTTTTTGGATAACCTGCTAAAACTGAACACACATGAAACTAAAAAAAAAAAAAAAAAGACAACATCTGCAGAAAATACTTGGCTAAGGTAAAAAGAACAAGGTTTTACTGCCTTCACAAGGCAAGGGCCACAGAGCCTGTAGAATTAGGGAGCGAGTGTTGGTGCTGCCCATTGGCTCAAACCCAAGTACTATGGTGAGCAGGACTCTTGACCAAAATGACCCCACATACGGGTTATGTAAGAACCTGCGGGGCCACCCTGAACTGCCGACAACATAGAGTGTTTTTCAGCTTCCCACGGCTCTCCTTTATGGCTGTCATTCACGGGTCTGTCCAAACCCTTTTAAAATCCATCTATGTTGCAAGCTTGTGCCACCTCTGTGAGAGAAACCATCCCATAATTTCATTACCTACTGCGTGGTAGAGCATTTCCTCTGACTTGTCCCGAACTTGCCTACCTTGTGGTTCCAAGGCACTGTTATATTTCAGGATCTGGTGAACAAGTCTGTGCTCATCTTATCCACACCATTTATGGGCTCATCATTTCTCCTAACAGCCTGCCCCTTTTCAGCAGCACTTGTGACTTCCAGTTGGATTCTCAAAGCATCCAGTCTGCCACTCAGGAACATTCTTTATCCCTGTTTATGCTTCTAGATCCTCACCCGGTGTCATCGGCAAGAATACACCACAGCTTCAGATGAGAGGAAGACAATATTCTCAATTTAACAATTTTCCATCTCTAAAAAATATACCTGTTTGGGGGGCACCACAGTCCTGAGTACAAACACATTACATTTGACAATGCTTCTAGACTCAAGGACTTTGCAAACTGCTGAGAAAGTGTCTGCAGGCAGTGTAAGGTAGAGTGATGCTAGCCCATAGTGCAAGTCAACCTGCCTGCATTAGACCATTCCCAAGACTGAAAAGCAAGAAAGCACTCACCTTCATATCAGACTTAGGTTCTCTACTAAAACCCCCACTGATTTACACAACATTCTTTTTTTTTTTTTTAAAGATTTATTTATTTATTTATACAAGCACTGGGTACAGTCAGAAGCGAGGGAGGATGAGAGAATTCACCAGAGCCAGAGCAGGGAACAGAACAGGCAGACTGACGAAACACACTGCTAAGGGAGCAGCGGGCATGGCAGGAGAGGTCTGCGCGCCATGTGGGACCCTCACCGGCTGGTCAGGGATTGAACCAGCGCTGCAGAGGCTGCAAACAGCTTTGCAGCCCAGCTCTCAACTGCTGCACCACCAGGGAGGCCCTGATTTACACAACATTCTAAGGGTACATCTCTTGTCCCCAACATACTGAGGTGAAACTAGAGCTCAGCAGATGCTAAACTTAGTAGGGGATGGTTTACAAATTTAGTTATCATGACTTCTTTTTTAGTTAGCTGTGAATATGCTCTTTCACTTCATTTAGAGCCTACTAAGCTCTTGACCTCTTTGACATATCTTTACGAAAACATGAAAAATGATAATGACTATGTAAAACGTAACAGCACTGTGGTTGCCTGGGGCATGCATGAGTTCATTGAAGTTGGGATTTCATTGCCAAGAGAATAAAATAGTAGGTAGATGCCCTAACCTGCTTTTTTATAAAGGATGCATCATCCACCCAGAGTGAGAACATCCTGGCCAGACACCCCCTCCCTCTCTTCTTCCATAATTGGCTCTTCCTAGTAGTTTCTATCCCTCCGCAGGCTCTGTGGCCTTAGCAATCTAAGGTAGGCAAATTCACCATCTTGCCTACCCATAAGGCTAATTTCTCTGTCACAGAGCAGCTTACTTTCCACACTTACTACCAGAGACATCACAGAGATACCACCACCTTATGAATATGCCTCTGACTCTTTCCACCTTGACAGCCAAGTCCATGAAGTCCTGAGCACAAGTCAATTGCTTTGTGTGCCCTTGGTTAGTTTGTCCCTGTTTTCTCTTAAAAGCATCCCTAAATAATCATTACTTAAGCCAGAGTCAATCTATAATGTTGCTCGGGATTTCCAGGAAAGTACTTTCCAGTGACTTTCTTCAACAGCCCTCATTCCAGGCCTGAATATTACCCTGCAGAAGTAGGAATTCCTTCACAGAAAACAATCCCCTGCTCTACTTGACGATATAGTGGTAGAGGGATGGACTGGAGGTTGTAAACGTTGGGACTCACATCTGAACTCCACCATTTATTTGATATGTGACTTCAAGAAGGTTACTTAACTTCTCTGAATCCCAGACTCCTCAACTATAGAAAAAGATAATACTATATCTCATCAATGTACTGTGAAAGACACATTTGTATAAAGTTCCTGACTTAGTGTCTAAAGTGGCCATTCCCAAATCCTTAGGCCAGCATCTGGGGCCTTGTGACAGTCCCTCCACAACCTCACTTCACTGCTGCCCCCTTTCATCCTTCCCCCCACTTGCCCCCCCCCCCCCACACACAAACCTGTCTTCCTCCATGCTCTATTAGACATTATACTCTGGCTTCAAGTTCCAGGAGTTTGGAAGGAATCAACTTGACATAGGTAGACAATGACAGGCTAAAGTGTGATTACAGATTAAGCTTTTCCTGGCTTGGGCAAGGAGAAGCTTAAATCCAGATGCTTTCAAGCACATCTTCCAATTCCTGGGTCCTCCCTACCTGACTAGTCATTAGTCCACCTTCTTCTGGAACCCACATTCCCCCTTCTTGTCCAAATACAGACCTAGTTCATTCCACTTGAATTTCCATGAAGAGAATCTAATTTCCTTCCATTGCGGGGGAAAATAACATTTTTTTCTCTTAATCATCCTTGGTATTTCTCATCAGTGGGCTGAGCTTCTTTTTGGCCTTTCAACTAGGGTCATTTTGTGTCTCCTGCACTAAGAGAAAGGGATCTCTTGTTCCACAGCTGAAACAGTTGGCTGCACTGATCATCTTAATGTCCACACATAGAGGCCAAAGGACACCAGGACTCAAGCATAGCAGATGGAGAGCTAGACCTGCTCAGCACCTGGTGCCCTGCATGCAGCGTCACCTCTCAGGCCCATGTTTTGGAAGAACCTCCCTGGGTGACTCTGATGAGCACCAGGGCCTGGCATCTCCCGCTGGCCCACCCAAGTACCCTTGAACAAGTTCCCAGCCTGGGGTCATCAGTTGCTTGTGTCTGGCTCTTTTCTTTTTCAACATTCCAGGTGCTGGAGACTGGACCACCCACAAGTAAATGTAGATGAGAGCATGGGAGGATGAGAAAGGAAGAACCTCTGAGAACATCTTCAAGGCAGCTTTTCCTCCAGCTCTGCTTCTGCTTCTGCTTCTGCAAGCTCCTTAAAGCTCTCAGTGAGGGCAGGAAGACTTTTGGGAGGTGTTGTGTACACCCCACCTGAGCACAAAGGGGTCACTTAGGGGGGCCCAGATACAGCACAGAACCGTCCATCCAGTCTGCCCTGTGGTCTCCCTCCCCAAACTTTACCTCCCCTTTTCAAGAAGGCTACTCCATTAGGCTGCACTGGGCTGGATAAGCCGAGTTTCCCCTCCTGTCCCTGCGAGCGGTCGTGAGCCAGTAAATGAAACAAGGCTGACTCTGCCAGAGAGCAGCTAAGTCCCAAAGGAGGCGTGTTCCGGGACGGAGGGGGCACCAACGAGTAATGGCTGGGAGGGCGGGTAACCCGCGTGAAGACAGAGAGGGAGGGCACGTCTGGGGCGTGTGCGCCCAAGTCCAAGGGCATCCGTGATCCACGGAGCCTGGGTGGATAGCCTGGGCCCGGCCCAGGAGCGAGAGAGCGCGAGTGTGATTCAGGAAGTTGAGCGTCTGACTTCGGGGGCAGGGTAGAGTTGCAGTGAAACCTCAAAAATGCAAGGCGTCGGCTGGCGGGAGAAGCGAGGGCGCCTCTCCCCTGCGAACGGCAGGTAAGCGCGGCGCCAGGCGGGCCGTGCTGATCACTCCCTACCTGGCTCGGCGTGGGACAGGCAGGGGCTTCCCGCAAAGAAAGCGGCTCTTGTTCCCCTGCCCTGTACCCCATCGCTGTCTCACGGGCCACTCCCGCAGATCGCCTGCCGCCCCGCCTGCGGAAAGCCCTCTGGAGGACTGAAAGGTGAGTCTCAACACTTTTTGTGACCGTGTGTTTTTTTAAAATGTATTTTAAACTACCCTCGGTTTGGAAGAGGATCCAAAGATAAGTGAGATTTATTGACTGTTGCCAAATAGCCTCTTGTCCAGTTGTAGGGTGTTCCCCTTTGCTCGGTTTCTAAGCAGTCTCACCTCGGCTGGCAGGCTGAGTTCACAGGGGCTCCTAGGGGGTTGGGGTGGAGTTCGCTCACCCCAGTTGACTCACAGCAACTGCGGGCAGGAGCAGTTTGAAGGGGACACATGGATATTCTTTTTGCTACAGAAAAAGTCAAGGCCTAAAGCTTCCAAAAAGCATCAGGGGGCTAGGATGTTTCAGAATTATTCTAGGGGAAATGAAGTTGTCACTGGGGCTAAGAAAGTGGCCAAAAGGAAAATATGGCCTGGAGCCAAGAGTGGAACGGGACCCTGTGGATGCCTCCCTGAGCCCCCTGCACACTTGCTGTCATCCAGGTTGCTTTCCAATTTCTTTCACTCTCAAAGTCCCATTTCTAGTCCCCCACCCCACGCATAAGGTTAACCTGGAGAACACTAAAAGACATGTTTCCCTCACATTTTGATGAGCTTCACAGGAAAACATTATGTAAGAGCAGTTAGATAAACTACAGGCCTTATCCAGTGGGAAGATCAGTCCTGCCTAACCGAAAGGGAAACTGAAGAGACACAAGCACTGCCCTAATTTCACAGAGAAGGCTGCCAGCAGCAGCCTGCTACCTTGCAGAAGTTCCAAGATTCTGTTGAATGAGGAAGGGGAAGGAAAGTGCCCCTCAGCACCTTTCTCCCAAAGCTGCTGTGTTTCATTCACTGAGCTAAAATTCAAAAGTTCTTCCATCTCAAACTAATTTTACAGAGTTTGGCTCACGTGGAAGACCTGTTGGCCAATGAGAGAGTCTTATTAGAAGGAACTGCACTTTAAAATAGCATATTGTGGTTAACCCTTTTGTAAAAAAAAGTTTTGCAAGTTCTACCTAGAGAATTCAGCAAGGGTCTCACCATCTTCCTGGTCTGATGTGCTTTTCCTTTGCCCAGCTGCTAGGGAAGCAGCTGTCATGGTAAACCTGGTCAGGTCCTTCATATTTTCTGCAATTATGGCTTCCCATTCTCACCCCAAACACAATATTAGGACATAAAGATGCTGCAAAACCAATGTTTCTCCAGACCCCATACTTTGCCAATATTCAGCCTGTGGAATTGGAATAACAAGAGGATGACTTCTGTCTTTTCCCCTGAAGACTGAACTTGAGAGAATAATGTACTCTCCACAAGCTGAGTTACATCAGAGGTAGGAACATCCATCCCATCCATCCATCCAGTCAACATTTACTGCACCCATGTGCTATGCAGTATGCCAGGACCTTGGAGCCCAAAGATAACAGGACGGTTTCTGCTTCAGTCTGGCAAATGAGACAGACATAGACACAGAAACAAGCTATAGTTCAGAATAATTTGCATTGCAATAGCAGCAGCAACAGAACACTGAAACAACCCAAAGGAGGGAAGTGATTAATTCCCCCGGGATTATCTGGGCAGTCAACACACAGAAGTGATGGGTGAAGAGGATGTTGACATGATTAGGAGTTCCCAGGGAAAGGGTATTTCAAATGGAGAAAAGGTTCACTTTACTATCCTAAGAATGGTGAGCTCTCTCCTGTAGTAGTGGGAAGTCATCTTTGTTTTTTAAGCAGGGAAAGGTATAGTCAGATTTGTGTTTGGAGAGAGAACTTGTGGCCAACTGGAGGCTGACGTGGAGACATGGGAAGCAGAGATAAGGAAAACCTCAACCAAGATAATGGCAGAGGGAACTGAGGAAAAGAAATGAAGTTTGGTGGCATTTAGGAAATACAGTCAGAAATACCTGGTGACTAAGTGAATGTGATAAAGTAGGAATGAGTCGAATAGAGAATGACGATAAGGGGTTGAGCTGGGGATGGAGGAATGTCTTATGATGCCCACAATGAAGATCATATGAACCAGGGAAGGAGTGGGTTTTGAGAAGCAGATTGTGGGAGAAGATGTTTAATACTTTAGTTTAAGTTGGATGTAGCCAAGAGAGGTCCAGGTGGAGATAGTTGGTGAACAGAGTATGCAGGTCTGGAACTCTGAGAAAGGTGGAGGCTGCTCCAACTTACCATCCAGATGCTATGCATAAAAGCAGTGTTGAGGGCAGATAAGCAATCCTGTTGATGCTGAAGAATCTTGAATTAGTTGGTAGTAGTCTACTGATATTATTTTCATATTATATAGTGACATTCTAGACTCCCAAGCCTTTCTCAGGATGCCTTGCAGGGTGATAGATACCTAAGCGTGGGGAGAATCCTGAGTTAATGGCACATGGGTAGTGCAGATACGTTTAACCAAATAAGCAAATCCCCAGGAATTACTCCCTCATGTGAGAAATGAATGGCGTAGTAAGAGCTGCTAAAGGGGCCTCCCTGGTGGTGCAAGGGGTTAAGCATCCCACTGTGGAGCAATCCTCTGCAGCAGGAGTTCAATCACCCTCCGACCATGGAGCAACCCACATGGCGCAGCAGACCTCTCCTGACTCACCCGCTGTTCCCCTCAGCAGTATACTTCGGTCAATCTGCCTCTTCTGTTCCCCACTCTGTTTCTGGTAAATATTCTCACCTCCCACATCTCTGGCCTGTACCCCAGCTCTTGTATTCATAAATAAATTTTCAAAAAGAGCTGCTAAGACCTTGCCAGAGCTCACACCCCAAATCTAGCTATTACACATGTGTGGGAGATTCTCCCCTTCGTCAAAACAGGAGGGGTGACTCTCTCAGACTAACTCCAAAGCCCTGCGGAGTAGTTCTTTAGGTCTGGCTGCCAAGGCCTAGAATCTAACGTGACCTGGTGTGGAAGGAAAAGACCTTGAACTTGGGGACTAGATAGACATGAGTTTAATTCTTCTGGTTGACCTTGAACAAGTCTTTAAATCTCTCAGTTTCATTCCCTTTACATTTAAAGAGGGGGAAATTATTACTCACCCAGGATACAATGGTTAGAGTCATAATCAAAATGTGGAAGAAAGAACATTTAATGTACCACATAAATTGCAAGGCTCTATAAAAATGTGAGGGGTTTTATTATTCTTACTAATCTTGTGTTTTAATGGTACCTGAATCAGATGGACTGCACAGGTATTGGACCTGAGCAGCATCTTAGGCATAGACTTGCAGGTTTTGAATTGTATGAAATATTTTAAGGCAATAATTAGAAAACTCTCCTCTGTCTTATCAATGACCAGGATCTATTCTGGCTTCTGTTTTTACGCCTTCACTAAGAGCCCACAGAAGTGAATACTGCACGAATGCTTGTGCAGGTTATAAACTGCACCCCACTTGTACCCCACCCCACTTACAGCTGAGTCCAACTTGAGAGAATACTTTTTCTAATCCTCTTCCAGGTGTTGGTTAAATCCATAGTCACCCAGAATTTGAGCATCATTTGATGGCTTGGATTTCGCCTTGGTTTCCCATGTCCAAACCTGGGGAGCTGAACATACTCCAACCCAATGAAGCTCAGATTTTATGCCTACATCTGAAATTTCAAGTAAACAGGCTTCTGTAGGAGCTAATTATTGATGAAGAAAAGGAAATAACCACAGACTCAAAACTTCAAATGGAAAAACACTTCCAAGATAAGCCTGCCAATCCCTCACTTCACAAAGGAGCAAAATGAGGTTCAGGGAGTTGAAGTGTGTGCCCAGGTCAAGAGCTGGTTAAGAGAGAGCCCAGAATCCAAGCTCTGTCTCTTTCATTCATGGACAGCAGATGGAGATACTTAAATAGTATAGAACCATAAAGGATGCTATCATGTGGCACACACAATGATAAGCACAGGCTCTCAAATGCTGACAGAGAGGTGAAACAGAAAGAGGGGGAGGGGATGGGGCAGAGTAGGAGGTTGAGGGAGCACTACGGACTATGGGAGCCTTTGTGGGGGTGGGTCGTGGGAACATACATCTTAAGAGGTGTGATCCTATATCTCTGAATCTCATACAATGTTGTTAACCAGTATTATCTCAATTTTAAAACAAAACAAAACCTTGCACCTGAGGGCTGAATCTTCCCAGAGTGGCCTCAGGGAAGCAGAGCTTCAAGAGAGGCATGCAAACCTCTTCCTTTAAGGCAGTGTTCATTCCACTCGCATCCCTTCTGTTTCTTCAACTTCAATCCTCAAGAATTCCCAAAGACCCCCGCAAGAAACAGCACTGGGTGCCTTAATGAACTGAAACCTTCTTCATATTTCGTGCAACTTGCACAAAGACTGTTTTGAGACTAAGTGACAGGTCAGTCTTCCACATCAAACACACAACAACCTCACACTGGATGAGAAGGGCTCCAGGCGAATAACAGAGCTCTTGAGACTCATCAGGGCACAGTGAGAGAGACCAAATGATGGCAGATAGACTTTTCCTCTCTCTGAGCAGCACAAAGAAAACCTACAGCAAATTCTTTGAAGGGCAAGCCCCAGAGCAACAGAGCAGCTCAGGTTGCTCCCAGCCTCTGCCCCTACCGACCTGGGCCATCAGAACGGACACAGCCGGGGAAGCAAGTGGACATTTAGAGGAGACCAAGCAAGGGCAGCTGAGTTCCTAAGTGAGCTTCACATGCAAATAAAAGATTTTTTTCTGAGGGCAGCTCCCAAGGGGCTTTGGCAGTGTCCAAACCCAATCCTGCCGCTGGGAAGAGACTTGCTCCCAAGTTTGTAAGCAAGCTGTTCCATGCAGTTTGTTGCTAGGAAGTGAAAGAAAACCTGATTGTTGCTGTATTTTCTTAGTCAACATCGCAGATTGTGTTTTTCTGCCATTGCAGACTCGCCCTTGCTCTTAATTGTCTAGAACGTCTTCCCGTCGGGATGTTTTTCAGTTGGCTTTTATTCTTCTCAAATACAACCCTATTTTTTAAGCAGATGGTCTTAAGGAAAGTCCATCAGCAATTTATTTCAGTTCTCCAGGCCAGTCAT